CAGATTCAAACTCCTCCTGAGAGCGAAATCGATTGATTTGTCGCCTGGCTAATATACAACCCGCAGTAGCCACCTTATCTACCGCGATAAGGTAAGGAAGGGACGGACCACATGGATTGTTGGTGCGCGAGCGAATTCAGTAAAGTCACAAGGAATAAATTAATGAATAAATTAACACATAAATAAATTTCTGAATGAGTCAGTAATTCGATAAATGGATTAATCAGTTACGTAATAGCAGAATTACAAATCATATAATTTTATGAATTACCTAGAAAATTAATTCTTCTGGGTTATGCGCCGTTTAGATTGGCAACGGTTTACCGACGTTTCAGAGGTGGTTGCTGCGTCCATCATAAGGGCGTTGTTCGCCCTTTTGGGAGTAGAGTTACATTATCTAACAATCCCTTCGTTTGAATACCGTCACTTAAAACAAACTCTAACGATCAATTAATTTTTAGGTCACTTTGTACCCTGGCAACACTCAAATCAGACTGTTACTTTACAGCTGTATACATGATGCCAAATCTTGCCAACGGGAACCAACAGATGACAGCATAACATTTGCGTTTGCAAAAATCCGCTTTACAATGGCGCGGGCTAAAAGTTTAGACATGCAAAGAATTTCACGGATCGTTTTAGATATCAGAGCCATCAGCGACAGACAGGTACTAAGAAGGAGCTCAGAAAACGGAGACATGAGTACGCATGTCAAGGCACGTGTAGTACCGTTTCCCTCCGACAGGAGACAGAAGCCATGTTCAAAGACTAGTTCGTGGAAAGGAACAAAGACGGAGCACTTCTGCATTTTGCATAACGAGTTGTTGGATGTTTAAACTCTCCCACCCTTATCTCTCAATTTCAAATCACTATCGAGTTATTAGTGGCCCTGTCACTATTACAGGGTGTGTTTCAACATCCGTGTATGAGACGATGTGGACCATTCTGTACGATAGCTGACTCCGGGTTCAATTACCATCAGGTGGAGTTTATTTCAGTACTGCTGTGTCCAAATCCGCCCTGGATCGACACATGGTTAACTAAAATTTACACACGGTCGCAGTCGCTGTGGATAAATCGGAGAAAGCTTGAAGCTGACCACTCAAACATAACCTTTTACTAAAGTCCGAATGCATGGAGTTTTACCTCCACATTCCCACCTTTACTTAGACACAGAAACAAGATATCTTCATAAAGGATAATTCTATAAATAGGCTTATATTTATATCTGCTATTATATGACTCTGAAAGTAAAATTAGTTTATAAAAAGTAATGTTTTGTGTTCCTCATTGTCCTACAGGACAAAACCAGTTTCCTAAAATATGCAAACGTCATTCGGAGTCGCCGAGTATCAAAATGACGTGTCTTTAAGCAGACGTTATAGTGCGAAACCTAACCAATGTTGCATTATGCCTTGGAAATCTACTGGCAGTATGGCGAGATCATGTGTGAAAGAGGGTGACATTTCTCATAGGGCTTATTTTCGTAAGTGGTGCAAATAGATTTATAACACGAGGTAAATTTCCTTATTCAACAGTTCTGCCCCTATTTGACACTTTCCACCCTAAACTTTCCTCTGACATATAGTTATCATCATTTTCTTTATTTATTTTTTTTAGTGTTCTGTCTGACGACAGGTCCATATGAACAGGATCCTTCCATCCTTTTCTCGGACTGGGACCTGTTCATATACGTTCTTGGCAGATGATCCAGAAGTGGGTTGCCATTGCCTTCTTCTTAGTGTTCTGTCTGACGCCAGGTCCATATGAACAGGATCCTTCCCTCCTTTTCTCGGACTGGGACCTGTTCATATACGTTCTTGGCAGATGATCCAGAAGTGGTTTGCCATTGCCTTCTTCTGTGTGTGAATGGAGTAATTGTTGGGAAGCCACAGAGGAAAACTCCGTGTTGCCTAGACCACGGCCTTGCCCAACACAAGTTATAATTCGAACCCGAGACCCCAGGATTACAAGGCCAGCCTTCTAACCGCTAGACCACCGTGGTACAGTTATCATCATACTGAACTGTAATTTATTCTTCTGTAAATTTCACCAGCTCTTACATTAATTGACAAAAAACACAATGATGTTTTATATCCATGCTAAACATGCCACAGTATTATCACTGCTCAGAAAACAACGAATACCAAAAACGTTCATATGAGAAATAGTTCACGTTGTTTATATCCAACAATATATACAGCATTGCCAACAATATTTTTGCTACTAAAATTACCCACGATTTGACTTTTCTTCTTGTGTCTAGTTCAAATACACGTTCCAAACACATTTACAATGACAGCAATTTTGCTAAAAGTATAAAATAGAAAGAATTTTGTGTAGAAAATATAATTTAACAGCTGTAGATTTCACCCTCTACTTAAGATGGTTGACAGAATTTATGTAGACTCTGGTATTTTCATATGAAGAATATTATTACCTATTAAAGCACATATTGAACTTCTTGGTACAATAAATTTCATATGCATCTTCAAAGGTATAGACAAACGTTTCAGATGTCTCTTACCCACACCGATGATTAAAAAAAAAATATGTTACGCTAAGCCAATTCTAAAATTATAACTTAAAGTCCACGCATAGCCCCACTCTGTTGTCACGACACGAAGATAACGTTGAATCAGACTTTTTAAACAGCCTGTAGTTTACAATTATGAATGTCAAGCGTCTTTAAAGTCAAACTCTTCCGCTTGGCTGCGCCACGTCAGCTACACCTGTATCCGCGGGGCTTCTGGTCCCTTACACAAACAGGAAGGCCAACATTAGGTAGGTCTTGGCGTGGCCTCTGTTGGGCACGGTATAAACTACATTACACACGAACGTGTGACGAAATAAACAAGCACGTAAATGTACGCGTAGCGTAACAATTGCGACGCGCTGATTAAGAGCTACGACGCGCTGAGCCAGAAACTGACCTTAGCGAATGGGACCAGTGAAGTCAGAGTTGTCTGGGTCGCTGGGGATTCCCCAGACAACCGTGTTATAAAGTTAACCGTGGTAA